CCCTCAATATCGTTCGTTTGGGTGCACTCGTTTCGGCCTCCATGGCCAGCCAAGGCCGGCTGCCAGTCAGCTGATAATCGAGTTGTCTTAACTCTGGGTATAAAGGGACTCTATGAGCGAGAACCAATCAGAATTGGATTTTTTTTTAGGCCACTTTCAGCCCAACCAAAAGTGAGTTGTCTTAACTCTGGGTATAAAGGGACTCTAATTTTAAGTAAAGTTTAAAATTAAAGTATACCTTATATCTTAATTTTTTAGGGTAAAAATAAAACTAACACTTAAAGGAGGGTAAAAATAGGGCCGCGAAGCGGCCCATTGATGGCGCGGAGCGCCTTCAGGGGGTTGGGCCGCGTAGCGGCCAGGGNGCCCCCTAGTACCCCTCTAATCTTAACTCCCCATCTCCAGTCCTATCTGTGATATGCGTCTCCACTACGCCTGATACATCTATTTTTTTACCTTCTATTATTTTTTTAATTTCATCCATGTGAACAAGAATAATGAAAATATTTCCTAATTGTGGTTTATCAAGAGTAAATTGTTATTTCCATCGGTCCAAAATGAAAATAGATCAAGAAATTATTCACAAACCAATCTCATTTTATTTTTAATTGATCAGTTTGTTGATGTTGTTGTTTCTGTGTGACAGACGTCGCAGGATTCCTGATCCTTATCCCCCAATATCGTTCGTTTGAGTGCACTAGTTTCGGCCTCCATGGCCAGCCAAGGTCGGCTGCCAGTCAGCTGATAATCGAGTCGTCGTTACTCTGGGATCTGGGTATAAAGGGACTCCAGGCTGCCGATTCGTGAGTAATTACTCACATCGTGAGTAATTTGAGCACCGGTGAGTAAAACGTGAGTAATGAGTAATTGGTGAGTAATCCGACGATCCGTGAGTAATCGTGAGTAATGCAAAATCCATGGGTAATTCTCAGTAATTCTCCATTTTTGGCGCGATTTGTGTGAGTAATCGGTGAGTAAAATTTGGAACGGTGAGTAATCGGTGAGTGAAAACAATGTCAATGTGAGTAAAATCGGGAAATGGTGAGTAAAAAGTGAGTAAAATTGAGAACGGTTAGTAAAATCGCGATCAGTGAGTAGCAAGTGAGTAAATTTTAGATTGGTGAGTAGCGTGTGAGTAAAAAATTCGCGAAATGTGAGTCCGAGTATCGGCAGCCCTGGAAGGGACTCTAGCGTCTAGCACTCTAGATTGGTCGTGCGTGTGATGGATGGCATGTTAAGGGCTCAGCCGGAATTATTCCATTCCACTGATCTAAAAATGTTTAGTGAATTTTTCATGTAATATTTCTGGTGGCATTAGATAAGTATCTAGTTTTGTGAGCTCCTATTTTTTTCGAGAGTCCTTGGTTTTATTTTCTAACCTCACTTGAAGTTTATTCGGAGGTTGCTTGCCTCATCCATGCCTCACCTTTCTTACCACAGAATTTCTAAGGCTATCCTCACAATCCTCATTACATTTTCTGAATTGTAACCTTGTAGCTTGGTTGCAGCTTCATCTCATTTAGCTCTAGGTTTTTTGCGGGTTGTTATGCGCATTAAGCGTCATTTTACATTGATGCAAGCTATTGTCGCTGCCATCCTCGGAACAGGAGCAGGTCTATATGTCTGGCCCCCGGTGTTAAGTAAACATTTTGAAAAATTACGCAGAGCAGGAAAGGGTGTGGCTCCTGATTCATCTGAGACTGCTGGTCCACAAAATCCCTCAGAAGCAACAACTTAATGAGAGAGCAATTCAAAATCAAAGAACGTGAACTCTCAACCAGCTGCCTCAGTTGCAATTCAACAGGGGTAAGTGGAAAATATAGTCCTAAATCACTTCAACACATTACTATTTCTTGTCTCTCACAAATGCATCAAAGTGGATTTTCTTTTTAGCAAAATGCAGTCTCTCAATAGGGGACATTGTGGTAACAACACCAGAGAGTGAACGCAGTATCGTGTAGTCCGGATAAGCAAGGCAAGCACTGCGTGCCCAAAGATTCCAGAGGGAAGAAGAAAATTACATGTATTGCATGTCTTAAATTTTAGCAAATATTAGTGATAAAAGGTGTTAAGTAAGTAAATTGCAGTAAAAACAGAAAGAGAGAGAGACACAGAAATACGTATAGAGCCACAAAAGTGGGAATGCAGCAGAGCGGACGAAGGTGGTGCAGCGCGCTGCGAGGCCTGAACACGGGCCATCACATGCTCTGAAGAATTCCTCGCGATGGACTGAGCAGAGAGCCACTGCTTAGCAGTGGAATCAANGGGGGGGGGGGGGGGGGGGGGGGGGGGTGTTAGAGTTGTGGGAAAAAAGTGAACATCCGCACTGTTACTCATTCATCCATTTTATTCTTAAACTTCGTTAACAAGATCAGCACACTGAACGACGCCATGAGGCAAGTTGGTCAAGCACACATATGTTCCAATTAGGTCACTAGAGGACAGCATTTGCTAGGACATGACACAGCTTTAACACACCCCTTAGTCCAGTAATGGGTTATGTTTATTTTAAACTAACAGGAGTTAATAGATTACCAATTGGTTGAATGGACTATGTCGCGCAGCTTATTTATCCCATCTAGTGTTGATTGTCCAGCTCTAAAGCCGAATTGTCTCTCTGAAAGGGGGTCAGTTAGTGAGGAAAGTCTAAAAAGGATGAGGTGTTCAAATATCTTCACGAGACCATCAAGGAGGCAGATGGGCCTATATTTTTTAATACCAGCCTTCTTTGACTCAGGCAAAAGGAAGAATATTGCCCGTTTCCATTTTATGGGGAATGTACCAGAAAGCAGGTAGTTGTTGAACATATCTGTGCAACGGGAGATATTAGAATTAACGAAAGACTTGATGATTTCGGGAGGGATTCTACCTGGTCCCGGGGCTTTTTTGGGCTTAAGGTGTGAACATGCGCGCTTGACTTCCTCATGCGTGAAAGGGGCAATTTCCTCCTCTACAGTAGCCTGCTGCCAAGAGATTATAGGCATCGGTACATCGGTGCAGCTGCACAGGGCGCCAGATTTTGGGTTTTTTTTCCAAACTTTGCAAAATTACATCAGGGAACCATTAATTTATTGCGTTCCATATTTTAAATGACCTGACTCTAGACTTTAAGGGTCAAACTTTCTCTTAGTTTCGTAGTTAACAGTAACAGGAACGGGTACCTGGTTTTGGTTTCTGCCCCCGGAATCGTTCACTCACTCGAAAAAAGTTTACTATTGTTGGGTTACATGTACTTCCTTATGTTTTGTTTGGGCGTGATGTTAGTTTAGCGTAGTTTCTCATTTTCCTTGAACCTTGAAACCTTTCAATCTTAGAGGAAAATGTTGTGGACCTTTTGTAAAGACCATTTTCCTCATTTTCCTTTAGACCTTTCAATATTAGAGGAGAATGTTAAATAACATTACAAAAGGTCCTATATAGGACCTTTTGTAAAGACCGTTAAATTTTCTATCGGTCGATTACACAAAATTTTCGAAAAAATAATTTTTGAGACCAAAAATAACGGTTTTAGGTAAAGAAGGGTGGAGACAAAAATTCTTATGATCAGTGACCTTTTTACTCATTTTTCTTTTAAACCCTTGACTTTAGGGGAAAATGTTATACGACCTTTTTATAAGAGCGTACAAATTCCTATCAGCTCATTACAAAACAATTCCAAAAATCTTTAAATCTTCACTCTGAAACTTTGCTGGAACACGTTCAGATAAGACTTGTCTAGCATTGAGCAGAGCCGCGATGCAATTCTTTGTCATGAACCCACCCGGGATCAGCTAAACACCGGTGTCAAGGCCTGGAACACAGCTCCCGAGGCGTGTCAGCCAAACACCGACGCGCACCCCCAAACACGGGTTTGACACGCAGCGAAAATCGACATAAAATCGAGGTTTGAGCCAACACCGGTGTCAGACGCTGATACGCCTCTGACACCGTCTTGACACGGGGAGATAAAATCGGCCCCCAGTATAAAGGGACTCTAGTTAGAGTTAGCACGTAGTAACCAAAGAAGACCGTCGGGTTGGGAAATGCGCGGGCGGAGGGGGGGGGGGGGGGGNAGCGTGAGTAGTTTTGTGAAAGCCATTTGGCGGGAAAATCCATGGGCATTTAAAACTAGGAACCAAAACTGAAATTTTGGCTATTTTCAGCAGATTTTTGGCGGGAGAACTCTTCTTTTACAGATTTTTGTGAGATGAAATGTTCCGAAGAATTCAAGGATTAGTTTCTCAGTAGAATCTATGTGGTTCAATATTTCCAGATTAAAAGATGCAGCACTTTACCCCTTAATTTGGAATGTCTACCTCTCATCTATTCTGGATGAATCGATCTTCACCGCCAGATTATTATATATCATATTTTTGAAGTTTAAAGCCTTAGAAACCGAACATTAATGCAAAATCCTAGCAAAATGAGACTTTTGGTTCCTAGTTTTGAATTCCCGCCAAGCCCCCATGAGAGCAGTTAATTTGCTACCAACTGTTGTAAGAATATTGAAACAGAATACTTAGCATGACAGTACTTGATAAAATTGTATTTGATCAAAAACCATTATTACACATCACTATTTATACTTTATTAAAGCTTTATAATCAGATTCAAGAGAAAATTTCTCTCGCTCCGGTCAAAATCTTTCACTACTGGTAGTGCCATCAATTTTCTAAAGTTGTCTAACCTGTAGCAAAATTACTCACGCTTTCTAAGCATTAGCTATATTGGACGTTAGCGATCTGGACTAATCTGTGGTGCGAGGGGGCAACTCGAAAATTTCTCCAAAAACGTAAATCCGGCCCTGATGAAAGGGTGCAGTGGAAAAAGTTCAGAGACTACCGCCTTGAGTTCGAATTCGTATAATGACTCGTTGTCATCGGATTTAGGTGACTTAAATTTATTACGCATAAATTTGTAGGCCCTCCCCTAGCAATCAACCTCAAGTTCTCCCAGATGATTATCCTAACAGAGAGTTTTAGCTTTATTCATTGCGTCATTCAAAATTTTGCAAGAGTTGGAAAATTCTAAGTATCGTTGGTCGCTTCCAGTGTTTGATATGTCCTTCAATTTGTACAAGCGCTTGCGCGCTTTAAGGCAAGATTTGCAGACAGATGCTATTTCGGGTGTCCACTGTCCACCAGTAGGAAGTCTTCGTCTTAGAAGAAGGGCCCTTTATTGCAAAACTCTTATTAAGGGAATAGGTTAAGATTTCTTGGCAACTCTGTGCCGTAAGGGCGGTTGTCGCCGCTAAGATTAAGGTGACAAAGCGAGCTACTTTGGATAAGGAGGACGGAGTTTTTTCTTTAGAGATCCACCAGCCTATAGACACAGGTTTGGTTGGAGGGGGAGAGTCAGACAGCATGTCAAATTCAATCGCGTGGTGATCGCTATGGTTTTCAAAATGGTTAAGGACCCTAAGTTGAGAAAAAAGGGGCAAAGAAGGAATTGAAACGGCAACCAAATCCACCACAGACTCACCGTTGTGGTAACGGAGGTAGGGATGTTTTAATGTTTTTCATTTCTAATCTCCATTTGTTCTTTTCTACCTTTTTCCTTTTTTTTTTTTTTTTTTTTTCAATTTTGTCAACTTACGTATTGTAATTACTTGTAGTCTTTGTAATTACTTATGTATTATTTTGTTCTCTGATAATAAAAGTCGCTTAAAAAAAAAAAAAAAAAAAAAAAAAAAAAAAAAAAAAAAATAGATGGATTGGCTCAGCCATCTTAGGCCGAATGGAGCCTTCTAAGGCCCAAAAATGGCGGACGCTGTAAGTAAACGTAACCACAAAATGACTCGAAATGTAGTTTTATTTGCTTATCGCAACGAGAACTTAACTTAAATGCATTACTGCGACGTATTCACATAGTTTTACGGCTGAGTGTGTGCTATTTTCGAGGAAAATCGTGTTAGTTTTAGGAAGGTTAGTAGCAAGTGCGGTTGGTGATGACTAGGTGATAACCAGGTGATAATCGTCAAAAGTTGGCGATGACCCCCCTTCCATCCCCAATACGAACAAAGCGCCACCATTTGAGGGCCCCCAAGTCCTTAATGGGGCCCATTGGCCATACTCTCCCTATAAAGGTTCGCTAAAAAAATGGGAACTTAGCTTTCCCCACCCAAAAACACATCCACTGCGAATTTCTTACCAATTTGTTTTATTTTTTTATTATTTTTTTTTTCTTTTGCTTATTTCTTTATTTATTTTTCATTTTCTTACATTGTCGAAGGCTTTGTTTTTAGAGTACTACTTCTTTTCAATGATCTTTCTTGGAATGCCTACGCACTGTCCAGTAGAGTTCGTTTTTACCCAAAATTAAGACAACTCAATTCTGGTTGGGCTTGAAGTGTCCTTAAAAAAATCCAATTCTGATTGGTGCTCGCTCATGGTGTCACAAAAGTGTGCAACAAGATGGCGGTGGCTCGAATGTGAACAAAACTAATGAAAACATAACCTAATTGTGATTTATCAAGAGTACATTGTTATTTTCATCGCACCAAAATGAAAATAGATTATGAAATGATGTACAAATCAATCTCATTTTATTTTATTGCAATTTCTTTGGTTAGGTTTGGATAAGTTTTTGGGAGATAGACATCGTAGGATACCTTATCCTTATCCCTCAACATTGTTCGTTTGGGTGCACCCTTTAGTGACACCATGGTCAAACAGAATTGAGTTGTCTTAACTCAGGGTAAAAGGGACTCTACTGTTCAGTTGATGGTCCATAGACTCAGGAGACCATTGTATTCGGACCGGGTGAACAGAAGAGTGGGACACACAAATCGGGGAATCTTTTGGCAACGCGGACAGCCTTTGTCGCCGTAATGCAAAAGTTATTAGCTTTTCTAACGTACTGATCTGGGTCGATCAGCCTTGGCAGAGTAACTTGGTAGAGGAGTATCGCCGCGCCTAGAGTACCTTTATAGACAGAGTATGGCCATTTCTGTTTCGGTTTTTCATTGGTCGCGTGAAAATAGGCTGACACGATGTTCTTACGGCCGTGAATAAACAAACAAGATGGCTGTTACCAGCAAGTAAGATTGAGGTTGCGTCTGACTCTAGGTCAATAGGTCCCGGGTTCGAATCCCGGTGGTGGCGACAAATTTTCATGGAACTGACGAGTGGATCTGTAAGCAGAATTCGCTCGGCCTTAATCCGTGAAAATTTGTAAGCCCGAGCATGGATGTCTACCAAACTCCCTGATGTCTTCGGACAATAAATAGTGCCTATAGATGGCTGTAGATTCCTAAAGGAATAGAAGCCACTAAACTCTCAATTAAAAAAAAAAAAAAAAAAAAAAAAAAAAAAAAAAAAAAGATTGAGGTTATGCACATCTTACATCCTCCTGTGATAAAGGTGAAAGGCTATTTAACGTGATTCAATGTTTTTGCGATTTAACAATGTTTTCGTGTGTTTTTCGTGTTTGTCAGTAACAATTGTTACTGCCGCATAATCGAAATTAATGTCAAATTTAGCTTCTTATTGATGTTACGTTGAGCCGCCATTTTGTTTGTTTATTCACGGCCGTAAGAGCATCTTGAAGCCTAAAAACTCGTTGACCAATCAAAAAGCGGAACAGTTTTCCTGTAATAAAAAGATACGAATGGCCATACTCTGTCTATAAAGGTACTCTAGCCGTGCCTACCGCTTTTGCGGATCCTCCATCTTGAGCTTCATGAAGCTCTTAGAACCCGAAAATGACGGACGTCGAAAGTCGATGTTAATATAAAATTGCTTAAAGTGTGATTTTATTTCCATACCATCCCAGGAACTTTACACGGTGCGTTTTAAACAATTTTAATGCGGTCAACATACCACCCGCGATTTTTTTGCGGAAATGTCAACTAGAAGGCCTACTGATTGAGGAACAACAAACCGCGAAATCTGTGATGGGGCCGTTTCTGAGAAAATGCGATTTTTCGCTTTTTTGGCGGGAATTTCGGGTCAAGGCGCTGAAAAAGTCAAGTTAGGCTGTTTTTGTAGTTCGTAAATGCATATCCTATACATTTTGAGTCAATCAAGTGCCAGTAGATAGCTATTCGTGCATATTGCCCAAAATTCATATCCTTAAATCCACGACTTTTGGGTTTTTGGGGGGTTAGTCAAGGAGAAATCCGAAAAAAAGAGGTTTAACCCGGAACAAATTGCTTAACAAACTTTTCCTACGTAAACTTCTTCAGTAGGTCCTATTGAACAACATACCAAAAGTTTACCACGGTTCGCTCCCGGAACACCCCCCCAAATTGCCTAAATTTCAAAATGGCGGCCATAATAAGGCCTCTGGGAGTTCGATTTTTTAAAAAATACGCATACAGTGTCATGTGAGGTGTCAATTCCTATGTAATTTAGGTCGTAGATTTCAAATATGAAGTAAAAAAAGTCCCTTGATCAAAAGGGGGTACCCCAAATCCAAGATGGCAGCCAATTTTGAAAGTCAAGAGGGTGGATTTTTAAAAAGTTCGCGTGACAAGGCAAGTGAGGTATCATTTCTTATGTAATTTTGGTCGTAGATTTCATTTATGAGGTCATAAAAGCCCTCAAGTCAAAGGGATTGCTCCAAATGCAAAGATGGCGGCCAGCTTTGAAAGGCAGGAGGGTGAATTTTTGAAATGTTTATGTGACATCCCTAGTAAAATAGAATCAACCTGACGTCAGGGTATGTTTCATAAACTACCCTGAGTCAGATTGATATCAGCCTGAATTAGTCTGACTCAGGGTAGTTTATGAAACGTCAGGTTGATTCTATTTTACTAGGGATGTCACATAAACATTTCAAAAATTCACCCTCCTGCCTTTCAAAGCTGGCCGCCATCTTTGCATTTGGAGCAATCCCTTTGACTTGAGGGCTTTTATGACCTCATAAATGAAATCTACGACCAAAATTACATAAGAAATGATACCTCACTTGCCTTGTCACGCGAACTTTTTAAAAATCCACCCTCTTGACTTTCAAAATTGGCTGCCATCTTGGATTTGGGGTACCCCCTTTTGATCAAGGGACTTTTTTTACTTCATATTTGAAATCTACGACCTAAATTACATAGGAATTGACACCTCACATGACACTGTATGCGTATTTTTTAAAAAATCGAACTCCCAGAGGCCTTATTATGGCCGCCATTTTGAAATTTAGGCAATTTGGGGGGGTGTTCCGGGAGCGAACCGTGGTAAACTTTTGGTATGTTGTTCAATAGGACCTACTGAAGAAGTTTACGTAGGAAAAGTTTGTTAAGCAATTTGTTCCGGGTTAAACCTCTTTTTTTCGGATTTCTCCTTGACTAACCCCCCAAAAACCCAAAAGTCGTGGATTTAAGGATATGAATTTTGGGCAATATGCACGAATAGCTATCTACTGGCACTTGATTGACTCAAAATGTATAGGATATGCATTTACGAACTACAAAAACAGCCTAACTTGACTTTTTCAGCGCCTTGACCCGAAATTCCCGCCAAAAAAGCGAAAAATCGCATTTTCTCAGAAACGGCCCCATCACAGATTTCGCGGTTTGTTGTTCCTCAATCAGTAGGCCTTCTAGTTGACATTTCCGCAAAAAAATCGCGGGTGGTATGTTGACCGCATTAAAATTGTTTAAAACGCACCGTGTTTACTCAAATGCACTATCATGACGACGTGTTTACATAGTTTTACGGCGAATCGTGTGCCATGTTCCAAAGAAATCATCTCGGATAAAGTGAAGTTGGCATCGAGTGCAGCTGGTGATAACCGTCAACAGTTAGCAACGACCCCCTTCCCATCGTCGAAAATCAGAACTAAGCGCCGCCTTTTTGGAGTCTTAAGGCCGTCACAGAAGGTGGAGGGGTGTCATGTCCCCACTCTCTCTACCAGGTTATGGCCGGTTCTATCACCTCTGGTCAAATTTGCTCGCTACGTAACCAGAGGATGAGCGTTTATCCTCTCGTCAGTCACATATAAGGGGCTTGGAGGACAAGGGGCAGAAGTGCAGAATGGGCTATTTCGAGAAATCGTGTTTGAGGTTTCGAAAATACATGGATCCTCAAGGCGCAAAGAAAGTTCGAAATTACTATTTGATGCTTAAAAATTGGAATTTGGGAGCCAAGTTTCCACAGAATATGCTTTCAGGCTAGTTATACTTGTGATATAATTTATTTCTCAATTTTTCAAAAAAAGTGCGCTCATGCGCCCTGTCCTCCAAGCCCCTCATTTATCCTTTGCTTTGGTTAAAATCCAATCTGGAACAAAAGGAGAACTACCAGAATTAACGGAGGAAGTTTCGCAGTGGACTGAAAAATTAATAATAGACCAGGATTTAAAAACCCACGGTTAAAGTATATGACAGGTGGTCAAAGTACCTGCTTAATATTTTTCAAATTTTCTCTCTGCCGAGTAAAGACTAGGACTTCGTGTTAACAACAGGTGATAAACGCCACTTTCGTGCTTATCCTTTTGTCAAATGTAACCAGCTGTTTGACCATAGGTAATAGAACCGCTCCTATAACTCTAGACCTTTATGTAGTTTTGGGTTGGGTGTCCAAGGCACATGGTAGACGGCAATGATGGCGCCAGGGCATCGACAAACAGATTTGTCTATGTCATTTTCCCAAAAACCTTAGGATTATATCCATATAACGGATATGACGTTTGGGTGTCGCAGATGCCGGTGTGAGTCGGACGAGCGAGAATGGAGATGTTGCATGTGTGAGGAATTTGCGATTTGAATGTTGATTCTTATGTTAAAGTTCGCGAGAAACACGATGGTGCCACTGGTTTTCTCTGAAACCAACTCCCAAGCTCAAAAAAAGCTCTCAAGTTGAGGCCAAAATGGAGGGATACCCCACGCTATCCTGAGAGTCCACCTCTACATCAAAACAAACTCTCCATGCAAAGATAGGAAACAAATACATTAACAGGGTTGCCGTTTTTCAGTTTTGGAGTCCCCAAATAAAGTGGCAGCCCTGTCAATGTATTTGCTCCCTATCTTTGCATGAAGATGAGGAGTTTGTCTTGATGTAGAGGTGAACTCTCAGGATTGCGTGGGATATCCCCTCCATTTTGGCCTCAACTTGAGAGCTTTTTTTGAGCTTGGGAGTTGATTTCAGAGAAAACCATTGACACCATCGTGTTTCTCGCAAACTTTTGCACAAGAATCATCAGTCAAAAATTCAATTCCTGACAAAGTCAAATTCCTCACACATGCAACATCTCCATTAGTCATGCGCCAGAAAATAGATTTCTCTAACTTTGAAATGATCCGCCAGGAGCAGTTTTTTATTATTTAAGTATTTGTCGCGCCGAATGATGCAAAACCATTCTCCTTATTATGCTGCGATGTTGGTATTCAATTTTAATTCCTTCCCACTCCTGGGTTCCTCTTTTTTCTTACCCCATTGCATTGCTGAATGGGTATTTCTAACCAATTAAAGCTAAATATTTAGTCAGTTAGTAACCCTTAAATCTGTCGGTGTTTTTCATTCTCGCTGTGTGCAATTTTAAAAGGAAAGTTTGCGTATTTTCTATGTTTTCTTTCTTTTTTTCAGATGTCTAAGCCATCAAAGAATTCACCCTCATCAGTATCTCAGTGGGCGGTAAAATCCCCACTGTCACCGGCTCTTGCAGCTTCAATTGCATTAGGAATTGGAGCCCTTGCTTGGATGTATGCGTTAAAGCCGCTCGCAGAGAATTCAAGAATGTACAGAAACGAGCAAGAAGCTGAGATATTACTCCTGGCCTCTCAAAAACCAAAGCCTGAAATTGTGGATCATTTTCGTTCCTAAAAACACGAAATTTATGGGTGTTTTTTTTTTCTTTCTATCTAGTAAATTTATAGAGTACCTAGTTATGATATTTTGTTTTGAGTTTTTATTGTCTTTTGTGCCTAAACAAAGAGCACGTACAGCTTGAATTTTTTTAATCGTTTACGTGACAAGAGATTTTCATCTTTGCAATGGACTTGTTCTGGCACATGCACGAGGCAAAAGAAAAAAAAAATAAACAAATGAGAAATACAAGCACGCCAATGTTTTCCCTCTCGTCATTAAGACTTCATTCTCTAAATTAAAATGTTATCAAGTAACCAAAACCAACTATCTAATTGATGGCTAAAGAGCAGAACTACGTATCTCCGTTTGCAACATTGCAGCCTTCCTTTTCACCATAACTGGGTGAAGGAAGACCAGAGCGGTGAGATTCACGATACATACTTTATTAGACACTAGCTGGCCCCTCGCGCTCCGCACGGGCAATACTCACTTTCTCAAATACTAAATTCAGTTCGTTTGTAAAATGTTTTATTAATATCAATGAAAATCGTTTAATGGAAATCGACTAAAAGAATTTAGATGCTGCTTTATTTTATATATGTTACAGATTTTTACAAGTTTTCAATTTCCTCAACAATAGAAGTTTCCATCAATTCTAATAATTTCGTTTCGTCGTAATTTTTATCTCTTGCATTAAGAATTTTACACAATTTTTCTCCCTGTACTTCCGGCATATTCGAATTCCATGCAGTATTTTATGCCAAAAAAATTCAGAAAAATAGACACAAATATCTGTAACAGTTTAATGAAACAGGGTTGAACCAAATAAATTAATAGAAATAAAAAAACTAGGGGAGCGAGAAAGTAGAAACTCCAAGAGGAATGAAAAGAACGTTTAAGTGTATGAAAGAAAGGTTATAAAAAATATAAAAACGGCAACACTAAGAACAGCTGACGAAAAACTTCAGCGTAGAAATTTTGTTGTTATTTTTTTTTCATGTTTTCAAACAGACATTTCGTCTTAGGGAAAGCCATGCTTTGACTTCCCCCCCCTTCCCGGCCGTCACAAAATAATTAGAAACGTTTACTCCCACCTGCCCTACCAAAATAAGTAAGAACGAACATTTCAGAAACATAATAAATGCTGAAAAGCGGGAACTACCCTTATCCTATGCTATGACAAAGCGCCAAAAAGCGAGAACTACCCTTAGCGTATCCAACGAAAAAGCAAGCGTGGAATAACGGGAAGGGGGGAGGGAGACGCAGCTCAGTCGACAAAACAAATTTTAAAATAGAAAGGGGTACGTGCAAAACGGGCCATTTCACGCTCGTGTCGGATACCATTGAAACTTGCCCTATTCATTCATCTAACAATGACCCATGTTTTCCCAAAGTTTCAAGTCCCCAAAAAAGTTTGGGGGGAAGTGGCGGGGGAGTTAAAGTTGAAAATCCGCGAAATTTTCGCGAATTTTTTACTTGAAAACTACTAAATATTTCGAAATGCGGGTTAAACTAGCGTTTTCAGATTGAAAAGAGCTTTCAGAAACTGTATAATATCATAGGGTTTTGTCGATTAAACTCAAGTTATCGCCTCCGAAGCGCCGGTACGCTAAAAAGTGACCCGCTTTTTTTTCACTTTCGGGCCGATCCCCAAAATAGCCCATGTTTAATTTCTTTGAAAAACTGATATGTTGTTCTTGACTCTCTGTGGCACTTATATAGTCCAGGCAAATGAGCCATGAAAGGGGCTATAGCCTGCAAAAATCGCGGGTAGCAATGTTTTCATCGATTCCTTTGTAATTTTTGACACTGATTCCAAATTTAACTTTGCGCCATTAAATTCGGACCGGAAAGTTGCCAAATTTGGCAAAAATGGTCTTAAATCGGCATTTTTTGCGGATTATGGCCTGTAACTCGCCAAAAATTGATCTGACGACAAAATTATTTTTTTTTTTAGAAATAAAGCTCGTTAAATTTCCTATTGTGGGTGCTCAGGTGATGTGGTGGCCCTGAAAAGGGCCGTTTTAGATCGTGATGAGAGACAGGATGGATGGCGTCTGGAGCGAGCGAAGACTGGAGCAGCGTGGCTGGTGCGACAGGACTTGACTGACTTGAGGACTGAGCACGAGTGCCGTAGGTGACCGGGGGCGCTGATCTTATACCCTCGGGGTGCGATCGTGTCGGCCAATCACGGGCGAGCGCGGGATGCGCCGCGCTGGAGAGGTGGTGATTGGCTGCCACACTATTAAAAAGTTCCTACCGGGTGTCCATAAAGTAACTGAAAAGTAGGTATAACTTTTGAACAAAAAAAGATAGAAGGTCGCGGTTTGTGGCATTCTTCATCATCCAAAAGGGGAAATTTTTCGATGGGGGGCTTTTCCTGGTGGACCCCCCTGGGGGGGCCCCAGGGGGGGCAACTTCAAAAATTCAAATAGCAACCCCCATTTTTTTAGACATGATTAAAAAGAACTTAAAAAGACAAGAAAAATGGCGCAAATAAAATTAAAATCGGTTATTTCGTTCAAAAGTTACAGCCGGTCAAAGTTTTAAATTGACCACTTTTCAAAAAATCGCCGATGAGCTCCAAATTATCGGAAAAACAGAAACAAACCGGGAATGAAAAGTTTGAAAAGTGCTTTTTAGGAAGAGGAGAAACAACTGACGTTGTCACAAGTCTGGATGGCATTGTTTCAAAATAAAATTTCGGAAAATTCAGCATGGCGGCAAATTTGAGGAAACGCAAAAAATGAAAATTCCAGAAACTGTTATCTTTCAAATATCCTCTAGTTTAAGGAAATCAAAGGTATCAACTTTTATTCCTTTATTTGGCCAAGTAAGAGCAAATTTGCCGACTTAAAAGTTGTCAAGCGGGGCGCCTTCATTCGTTGGAGTATGCGACATCACAGGATTAAGTGTGCTGTCGAAAAATGAAGCCGATGTAAAAAAGCGCTCCTCCTTTGGGATGCTTTAGAAATGTTTAAGGTCCTGCTCCTCAAATTTGACGAGAAAAAAGAAGAAAAGTAAAATTTAGCAATTTTTACCCACAAACTTGGCGAGCCAAAAAAACATGATTTATCCTGGTGGGGTAAAGGGGCGGTGGACATTTTTGACATTTCTCTCTCCGAAAATTAAAAATCCAAGAATAATTTTAATTCTCTAACTCCTGGCACTCCAATTTGGTAAGGAGGATATCTGCTACGCTTCACCGTGTCACCGATAAGATAGTGCATCAGATGTTACCGAAAAGATTGGTGTCTCAAATCGTAAGGTTGAGACTGTCAATAAGATAATCTCAATTCAGATAATAATCAAGAGTAGAACGGCGTCTTCGGAATTGGAAGCGTAGCAGATATCCTCCTTGCCAAACTGGAGTGCCAGGAGTTAGAGGATTAAAATTATTCTTGGATTTTTAATTTTCAGAGATAGAAATGTCAAAAATGTCCACCGCCCCTACCCCACCAGGATAAATCATGTTTTTTTGGCTCGCCAAGTTTGTGGGTAAAAATTGCTAAATTTTACTTTTCTTCTTTTTTCTCGTCAAATTTGAGGAGCAGGACCTTAAACATTTCTAAAGCATCCCAAAGGAGGAGCGCTTTTTCACATCGGCTTCATTTTTCGACAGCACACTTAATCCTGTGATGTCGCATACTCCAACGAATGAAGGCGCCCCGCTTGACAACTTTTAAGTCGGCAAATTTGCTCTTACTTGGCCAAATAAAGGAATAAAAGTTGATACCTTTGATTTCCTTAAACTAGAGGGTATTTGAAAGATAACAGTTTCTGGAATTTTCATTTTTTGCGTTTCCTCAAATTTGCCGCCATGCTGAATTTTCCGAAATTTTATTTTGAAACAATGCCATCCAGACGTGTGACAACGTCAGTTGTTTTTCCTCTTCCTAAAAAGCACTTTTCAAACTTTTCATTCCCGGTTTGTTTCTGTTTTTCCGATAATTTGGAGCTCATCGGCGATTTTTTGAAAAGTGGTCAATTTAAAACTTTGACCGGCTGTAACTTTTGAACGAAATAACCGATTTTAATTTTATTTGCGCCATTTTTCTTGTCTTTTTAAGTTCTTTTTAATCATGTCTAAAAAAATGGGGGTTGCTATTTGAATTTTTGAAGTTGCCCCCCCTGGGGCCCCCCCAGGGGGGTCCACCAGGAAAAGCCCCCCATCGAAAAATTTCCCCTTTTGGATGATGAAGAATGCCACAAACCGCGACCTTCTATCTTTTTTTGTTCAAAAGTTATACCCACTTTTCAGTTACTTTATGGACACCCGGTATACATTTTTTGCCGAAGGGCAAAATTAAGCGTGCTGGCAGGCTCCTTTAATTTGTAAGGGATTGCTCTTTCGTGGCTCCGATGGAAGTTCTTTAGAAAGCCAGGTTCAGCGGTCATGCATGTCCCGATATTATTTGCGCTGCTTGTTTGCATCTTTAATCTGTGTACCTGGCTCGGCGCATATCAGTCGTCTGTTGTGTTATCATTCCTGCAGATTGCGCTGAAATCTTATCCAGTACATCTCTCTGCGTAATTTCATGATTTTGTTTTGATTACACCAACACTCTACTGAAAGCCATTCTTAGAAAATTAGCTGTGAAGTGATGAAAATTAAAAGTAGAAAAAATAAAAATACAGTAATTGCAACTTATGTAGAAATCATGAAGGGTCTATGGAAGGGTCTGAGGGTCATATCTATGGAAATTACCGTGAAATATTTCATGAAACTTTGGAGGGCTGTGAAATTTTTGTAACATACGAAACATTCATTACAGAGGTAGTAGGCAACCTGCATCAAACCTGCTTGACAAAAATTTCATTTATGGCTCAGAATTATTCTTTATTTTTCTCTACATGAAATACAAGCATACGTGATAAAACTGTGAGAGAATTCCTCCGAATAATATTCACAACGTTTTGTGAACTATTCAGCGAAGGCTGCTAATTAAAAAGTTGAAAAATATTTTTCATTTTTTTAAGGAATGGAGATGTTGCATGTGTGAGGGATTTGCAATTTGACCATTGATTCTTATGTAAAAGTTCGCGAGAAACACGATGGTGCCACTGATTTTCTCTGAAATCATCTCCCAAGCTCAAAAAAAGCTCTCAAAGTGAGGCCAAAATGGAGGGGATATCCCACCCTACCCTGAGAGTCCACCTCTACATCAAAACAAACTCTCCATGCAAATATAAGGAGCAAATACATTGACAGGGCTGCCACTTGATTTGGGGACTCCAAAACTGAAAAC